CCTGGGCCTCCCAAAGTGCTGGGATTGCAGGCGTGAGTCCCTGCGCCCGGCCTCACCAGGCACATATTTAAACATATGCCAATGTGAAATGAGCAGAAGTGTATAACTTCTGCATCAAACTCTTCAAAAGAACAGCGTTCTCTTCATTCTTTCTTCCTATGGGCTGAAATGCAAATACAGGTTGAGAATTCCTAATTCAAAAGGTCCCCAAAATTTGAAACTTGATCACCAACATGAAACCACAAGTGGAAAAAATTCCACATCTAACCTCACACGACGGGTCTCAGTGCAAAGCATCAAGCACAAAACTTAAAGGTATTGTATAAAGTTACTGTCAAGCTCTAAGGTGTATATAAAACATAAACTTGTGTTTAGACTTGGGTCTCATCTCCAATATATGTCATTATGTATATGTGAATAGTACTAAATATGAAAAAAAAATCCCAAATCAGAAATATTTCTTTCCCAAGCACTTCAGATAACACACTCAACCAGTATGTTATCAAGATGAAAAGCAACTTTACAGGAATTTCCTCCAGAGACTAGAGTATGATTTGCTTTTATTTTGAATCCCTTTATGTTGTTCAAATTTATGATTACTTTTAATTATATATGCACTTCAATAAAATTGTAAATACTTTGCCAAACATAAATCATATCTACCTTCACCGTGCAAAGCCACAACCTATGATTAAGCCTGTCTCCCCCAAGTCAAATTCATCTCTCTTCTTGTACTCAAGAATGTTCCTCTATTACCACTTAGCAAAAAAGTTCACTTTATATTACAAACTGCATCAAGTTAACAGCCTGGACTCTACACAGACAGCCTGGGTTTGAATTCTGACCCACCCTCTTGCTCACTGAGTGACTAGTAGAAGTTATTTAATGTTTCTGTGCCTGTTTTTCTCATCTGTAAAAAAAGGACAAACAGCTCATAGGATTAAGGACTAAATGAGTATAAGGAGAGCTCATTAGAGTGGATCCTAGTTTCTACTTCACTCACGTTATGGAGCACAGCTAACACCCTACCCTTGTTTATATCCTTCTAGGTTCCCAGCGGTGATTCGCACACAGCAAATGACGAATGCCTGTTTACTGAATTAAGCTGACTTATGTCCAGGGAATGGGAAGAGTGACAAGAAGTGCTCCCCGAGTGAAATCTACAACACGGTGGCCTTTGGGAGACTGATGAGTTTTTGTTTTTACCGACAAACAGATTGGGTAGAAGAAAAAAAAAAAGTGAGTTGGACGAAAGGGCAAAGGCAAAACCTGCGCTGGGCCACCAGCCACCTGTCCAGCAGTACCCACCCCGTCCTCAGCTGCTGTCTCCTTGTGGCCATGGTTCTCTTGAGCTTTTTGAAGGGCCAGTGTAATGTATCCAGGAGAAGGTCTGGTCTCACTTGATCCAAGCATACAACGCTCTTGAGAGTTACTGGAGACTCCTATCAGCTTCCTAGAAAGGTTTGTTCAACTTCTCTTTGACAGTTCCTATTCCACTCACCTTTTCCAGGGTGGGAAGACCCCGCCCTGGCCCTCAGGTGCCTGATGATGACGCTTCATCCCACAAGCTTCCTCATGGGAAGCCAAAAAGACAGGGTTGAAGCTGGGCTGCCCAAGCCTGGCCCTTGCCTTTCCAACACCCTTTACACCCTGGATGTGATTCTCCCTCTTCTTAATCCCACGGCCTTCGGCACTTACCTCCTCTTGCCCTGATCTACAGTCTATTTTGTAACTGTATTTTCCCCCATATAAGCAGTGTCCCACAGGACCTTCAGCGCCTTCGTAGAGGTCAGGCGTGACAACCAACGTGCTATTCCTGTAACTCAAACAAGCAACATCACACTCTGGAAGTAAAGAGATATGGGTCCGAACCCCAGCTCTATGACTTAGCCATGTAACCTCAAACAAGTTGCTTAATCTAGGCCTCATTCCTTTCATCTAGAAATTGGACACCTGTGCTTTCTAGAGTAATATTGAGATTAAACAAGGTCAAGCTGACAGTGCTGCCTAGAACAGATCATGCATTCAAGAAATGGGGATATGTTGGCAGGTCAAGAAGACTTTGTGCATGAGATCTGAATTAGGTCCTCTAGCTCAGACTTTCCAAGACACAGTCGGTGTCAGCGAGCCTCGGAATCTCATCATTCTATCTTCATGTGTGCTTCAGAAAGTGCAGGGCTGCTAGGCTTGTTCACAGAAAAAGCCTGGGGCGTGGGACAGAGACAAACGAATGCCGAGCAAAGTATCTCCCCAGACCATTCAAACTCAAACAGTTTACAAAGCAAATACCCCATTGCACCCTATCCAAAGGCACAAACTTCTTTCTTGCAAAAAGCACTATTTGAGCTTAATAGGACATTAACTTGGGTTTACTATATTATCACCTAGGACAGTTAGTTTGCATTTGCAATAATGCGAGTGACCTTATACTACCGCAGAATAAAAACTCAGAAACAAAACCAAGATGCTGCTAGAAAAAACTACCAACAGGGAGCTGATAAAAACCTCACTGAAGGAATAGAAGCCTTAGCAAATGCATACATGATGCTGTGCTGTCAATTCTGACTGTATCTTGCATAAATCCAACCAGAATCTCAATAGAACTTTTAAAGGAAAAATCAAACCTGATAAAATAGATAGTTCTTCTTTTTGAGTCAGTCTTACCCTGTTGCCTAGTCCGGAGTGCAGTGGCATGCTCACAGCTACAACAGCCTCGACCTGCTGGGCTCAGGCAATCCTTCCGCCTCAGCCTTCTAAGTAGTGAACTACAGGTGTACGCCACCATGCCTGGCTAATTTTTTTATTTATTGTAGAGATCAGGTCTCATCAAGTTGCCCAGGCTGGTCTCGTACCTCTGGGCTCAGGCAATCCTCTCACCTCCACCTCCCAAAGTGCTGTGATGATAGGCGTGAGCCACCATGCCTGGCTAAAGACTAAAGAGGTGATACAGGACTCCACTAACGTCCCTCCATATTGCCACAGCCCCTAGAGAAGGGCATGGTAAGGGTTCAAGAGCTCCAGCACATTCCTGAGTCCCGTCTTCTAAGAACTCCCAGTAAGTAGCTTCAGGGGATCCTTGACTTCCTGGCAGACTTTCCCCAAAGATGCAAATCCCCGTTGATTCCCTTGTTTTGAACTATATAGCATCAATGTAATTGTAAGTCTTGTGATTTGCATAACTTTTGCAATGCAAGATGTCTTAGGCCTTGTAAACTTCCTTTACGCCAAATGCCACTATCTCAATGTAAAACGCAGCTGTAACTTAAGCTCTATGCAATGCTCTGCTAGTCATGTGGCTAAATGTATCGACAACTCTGAGCTATGAGTGGACTGCGAGGGCTGAAGGGTGGGCAGAACCATTTTAGAAAGGCCTCTAGTCCGGCTTTGTTCCCTGGATTCAAACTCAGAAATAAACTTCTTTCTACCAGTTCCTTGCCCCTTTGATTTGCTGGTATCAAGGGGAGCAGCAAAGCGATACTCAGACCATAACAAAGGAAAGCTAGGACAGGCCATGTCAGGCCCCAGAAGCAAATACCTGGCCACAAGTGAGGCAGTAGGTCTTGGAGCAGGAACAGTGAATGCGTCTAAAGCAGTTGGGGTTACGCACTCCAGGCACTTTACGTGAGACTGTATTATTACCACAACCACCTGCGTGTACTGTCGCCATGTTCCAGATGACAGATGCTGAGGTCTAGAAAGTAACATGTCAAGATCACACATGGTGACCAAGGCAGGGTTCTGACCCCAGCTGACCAGACACATCTCAAAGGAAAAATATACCCATGATCTGCAGAACTCCCACAAATCCTGATGAAAAACCCTGATAACACTCATAAAATGGACGAGGAATAGAACACGAAAAATGCAGTTGTAACTTAATATGCAAACAGCTAAAACATAAATGTTAAAAAGTCTGACCTCACAGGACTTATCAGGATTGATAATAACCAGGACCACAGAAAATGCACAGCATTTTAGGAAGGCACTCTGTCACTAAAACAAACATACAGGCTTCCCAGCAATTCCCCTTCCAGAATCAACCCCAAAGTTAACATAAAAACAAGTCACATGCAAGGATACTCACTGAAACTTTGCCAAACTGTAATAGTGGAAAGAACCCGCCCATCCACAGAAGAGTTGGAACAGACATTGTCATCCATTCCCTGGAACAACATGCAAAAGGTAAATCTATCTGGACTCAAGAGGAGCAATCCTAAAGACACTGTTAGAAGGAAAAGAGCAGAAAGGGCACAAAATTCTATTTGCTAAAAAAGAAAATAATAAATTATGAAAGAAAAAAAGAGATGATATAAAAGAGAAGGGAGAATGAACAGTTATCCACATTTTAAAGCATTTCTAAAGGTCCCACAAATATACACACCAAACCGTCTGCGTGGGCACTGGGGAGCAGGTGGCAGCAGACCTGGAAACTGAAGGGTACCTCTGCCTGTACTGGATCCTCTTCCAGATAACTAAACATGAGAACTGTCTTTTGTGATTTTGAGAAGTGACAAAGGACTTACTATCAGGTGCTCAGTCTTCTGTTTAAAGAGCAAGAAGCCACGCCTGTCATCCCAGCACTTTGGGAGGCAGAGGCCAGAGGACTGCCTGAGCCCACGGGTTTGAGACCAGCCTGGGCAACATGGCGAGACCTCAAGTCTATAATAAATTTAAAAATTAGCCAGCATGGTGGTGCATGCCTGTAATTCCAGCTACTTGGAAGGCTGAGGCAGATCAATCTCCTGAGCCCAGCAGATCAAGGCTGTGGTGGCCTTGAGTACCACTGCACACCAGCCTGGACGAGAGTGATACTCTGACACACACACACACACACACACACACACACACACACACACACGTATTAAAAAAAAATCCCAGAAAGAGCAAGAGAGCAGGATCCATAAGCCAGTGAAGGGTAAACACGAGAAACCAAGCAAAAGAACCAAAGAGCAACAATAAGAAAATTCACATTAAGAACAACTACTGAAGCCTACAAAGAATCAAGGCAACTGTCGCAATAAATTTTATTGTTTCCATAATAATAGGCTCTGGACAAAGTGAAGACAATGGAGACAGTGACATACATTTAAGCTATCACAAATTAATCTGTTACAAATTTCCAGTGGTTCAACGTATTAAAATGTAAAATATATAAAGAAAAAGACAAGAAATATAAATATTCAGATCTTTGAAGTACAATGCAATGTCCTTTTTAAAAAAAGTTTGTTGTAACTGTGTATGTAATTCTGACAGTAATTCAAAACACAAAATCACATCTTTTTCCTAACTTCCCCTCTGATCTGGATTTGGGGATTGCAATATTAGAGACATATGCAAAAATAAAAACAAGTTTAGCGCTCAGAGACAAATAATTTTTCTTATTTCAATGCATCAAGACGCAAAAATGTCAATTCAAAAAAGTCAATCATTGCTATATGCAGATAAATAAAACAGATTTGACAACACTTTTATAATCAAATTCAACTGACATTATACTAAAAAATATACGTGTGTGGGTGCGTGTGGTGTGTGTGTATATATATGCAATACCTATTTTAGAAAAAAAGGTGACTTGGTGAAAATGATTCTGAAAATACTCACTGATGCACATTATGTACAAAACCTTTTATATAAAAAATTAAACTGTTTTCAATGAAATTCCATGTTCACATCCGTCTGAAAACTGTACTGGAAAGATAAAGAGGTCTACCTAAAGGTCTTGTTCTGAAATCACGGCTAAGGCAGTTCTCTCTCCAAGGGTTTCTTTTTTACCCACTGACATCCCAAATACTAACAGACAAGTATTCAACAGATGCAGCCTGACATGTCTGTGCAATTACCTGGAGCGGGAGCTCAGTTCACTGTTACAACAGAGGGGACTTTACAGTTGCTGCAAAGAATACTTTTCTTTCTTAAAATAGATTGTTCCTCTGTTCCAAATTAAGCACTCGCCTAAGATACGAGGAGGCAGAGAGGCCAGCCATCTGGTGTCAGTGTCGATCGCCCTGGGAGAAAGCACTCCAGCCTGGGATAGCCAGGACAGTCCTTGCTAGGCTGACAGGGCAGCTTCGCCTGCACAGGACTGATGTGGCTAACAACTCTTTGCCCCAGAACTCAAGTCTGGAGTCCAAACAGACTCCTGAAGGCCCATCTCAGAGAAGAAAGCACATCTCTCGGAAGCAAAATAAGGACACGTGGGATGGTAAGAGCAGCTGGATCTGTGTGTGTGCGCGCGCGTCTTCCAGCGTCCCCATCTGGAGAAGCTGCTCAAGGCTGAGGAGGAGACAAAAGTGGAAGAGCCTGGGGGCGTGAAGCAACACTGCGAGGACCTGGAGCCTCCAGTTCCTCCTCGACAAGCACTGAGGATAGGAAGCTTTCACGGTGAGAAGTGGAATACCCTTAGGAAGAGGAACAGCCTGAGGCAAAGCTGCAGGTCTGTAATATACACTGTATATGCACACACTGCTATGTGCATTACTCTGTAAAAGTCTACATACATATTCACAAGATGTCCTGCAGCGCTCCTGCCAAAGGCCACTGTCAAGGAGCGCACTGAGCCTACAGAGGCCAGAGTTCATACCATCCATGTAAGAAACAAATGTGCATATATTCACATAATGTCAACCTTATCAACAAAGCCATTGCTAAGAACAGTAGGTTAAATAGTAGGTTTCAGATGAACAGTCTGTAACCATTAGCAATCAGTGATGTGATCAAAACATTTCTTACACTGAGAATCAAATTAACACAAAACAACATAACTGGGTTTTAAATTCACAAGAAAAAAGATGTTCAGTATGGCAAACGTGAACAAAGTTCAAATTCCACAGTAGGGAAAAATATCAAAACATTATAAATCTCCTGGGATGCAACTTCATCACTGCATCATTAGAAAAATAGACTCATAGGATGAGCGGTGCTGCAGGGATTCTCAACACCAAGTCATGTTCATCTTTTTCCTCTTTTGTTTCCAGCTGGAGGCTTCTTCAACTGAAGGAGCTGTCCTCCTGTCCCAAAGCCTGCAGAGGCAGGGTTGGACACCCCAAATGTCAAGCCCGCTGATGCCGTGATGCCGGGATTACTGAAGTTAAACCCAGATGTACTTGAGCTGCCAAAGCCTTATATTTAGGGAAAAAAAATTCACATCAGAAGTCAAATGGAGAAACAAAACAAAAACAAATATAAGCAACAGTGATGGGTGGTAAATTTTTATTTGGAAGAATACATTATCTAGAAGAAAAGCAAATACCTTAGGGCCCCCCATTTCTAACATGAAATTTTACAGGAAAATAATTTAGCCAACAACTGAGTGGCACCTTGAGAGACAGGGTTAAATGATGCAGGACAAGGGAGAAACCTTAGCACAAATAACTAATCTACAGAAACTTCATGGTGCCAGAAACTTCCTGTTAATTTATAATGTCAAGATGCCTTCCTTCTCAGCCCCACCAAAACACTTTTATCAACACACAGAAGAGAGACTATCCAAACACCTGGCTTCATCTTGGCAATCCCAAGTCCTCCAAGAAAGCCTCAAGTCACAACGTTCAGGACAATGAACACACACTGTTCCAACTGTATCAGAGCCCTTGAAAAGTTAAGATCAAGTTCAAGTACTCCTAGTGGCTAGTTAGCTATTACAATATATAAATTATAGTCCCAATACCAATGAATTCTATTATTATCTAGAGTAACAACAGAATTCAACTCAAGCTGCTGATTTTAAACACTACTTAATGTTAAGTGTAATTTCCTTCAAATTCCGTAAATTCAAACACATCTTTTACAGTATTATGTCACTATTTTAGACATACTGTTTGTGCCTAAGCACTGTACCTTAAAACAAGCCATTATCTACAAATATAGAGCAAAAAATAGATGGAATTTGGAATTTTCTACTAGAAGAGTCAAGAATATGCTTATTTCAAGAACAAACGAAAAACCAAATTATCTAAGCCTGTTGTTCATAAAACCAGGGAGATCTGTAATAGGAATCATTCTCATAGATAAATAATGATAAAAAACTGGATTAGGCTGGGATGCTGCCGTTCACACCTTAATACCAGAGCTTTGGGAGGTGAAGAAGGGAGGACTGTTTGAGCCCAGGAGTTTGAGACCAGCCTGGGCAACATAGCAAGATCCTGTCTCTAAAAAAAATGTCTTTTAATTAGCCAGGTTTGGTGGCATGTGCTTATAAGTCCCAGCTACTTGGGAGACTGAGATGAAAGGATCACCTGAGTCCAGGAGGTCGAGGCTACTGTGAGCCGTGATCGTGCTGCTGCACTCCAGCCTGGAAGACAGAGTGAGATCTCAACTCCAAAACAAAACAAAACAAAACAAAACAAAAACTGGGTTACACTTTCACAATGATGGGTTCATTTTTGTAATAATGAAGGAAACTGTTTAACTATGAAGTTAGTCACTAGGGTTCGAATGAATCTCTACTTAGTTAACAGAGACTATAATTATTTATTAAATCAAACTAAGAAATCTTATTAGAAACATTTTACAAACCTGCCCTTTAGTTTACAAGAGGGATTTGGCTAAATGAGGAATTAGGCTTGCATGCTTCACCCAGCAGGGAGAGACTTAAGCAGGGATCTTTTTTGTCTTACTGGAAATAACAACACTCACATTTTAAATGAAATAATTTGCACCTTTAGATGTGCCTGAAACTCAGGCAGAAACACACAAACCTGCACTAAGACTTCCTGAGGGTTTATTTGTTGTTCCAAATCCAAATGTGGAGGCCCCTGTGGTGCTGCATCCAAAGCCAGAGCTAGCTCCAAATCCTAGTGGAGGGCAATAGAGAAATATACACGGCATGTAAACAGGTCAGAGGACTCGACATGTCAAACCGAAATCGTCAAGGTCTAACAAACCGCACTGAAAACATGGCCTGGTTAAGGAAATCTATTTACACCTCAGCATGAGTTTTTAGAACCAGGTAAACTTTGAGATAAAACATTTATATCTATTTAGACTAAGTTTATGACCCCTCAATAATTTTTAAAGAACAAGGTCATAAAAAATAAGAGATTAGTGTTTTTTCTCCTAAGTGTTTAGAAATTTTATCGACCACTCAAGTAAGATTTTAGTCAAATAGTTATAAACATTTCTGCTTTAGGGTTATTTCATTTTGAAAAAAAACAACAAAAAAACAACCGAATTCATAAATAAGCATGGCATGCACAATAATGAAAACACTGAACACAACAAGGTAAAACAATCAATTTTACTATGCTCTTTACCAAAACATCTTTGGCTAGTTAAGAATCTGTACCATGAAAAACTGCATAACTACTTAAGAGACAATCACTTTCTCTCTCAGTAACAGGAAGTCCTACCATACGACCAGCCAATGCAACAGGGAAAAGCTGGAGGTGGGGACATCATATTATTCCTCTTAACATTGTTTTCACAACTTAAAAAAAAAGAAGCATTTTTTCATCACACACTGATCACGAAGAGATTCTAAGTACCTGAAGACCAGTTTCCATTCTCCTAAAAGCCAGGTGCTCTATAAAGTTCAAATTATTTTTAGGTCACTTTGCAATAGCTTATGTAAAATACTGATCTGATATTTTCATTGGTTGTATCTCTAAGAAATATGATGGCAAACTGGAATATATATTCTAAGAATTATGCTGTCTACCATGATTCTAGTAATTCCTAATACAGAACAGACTTTGTATTAAATAACTATAGTAGCTTATAGGCCTACCATCTTGATGTTAGTGGAAATATGGAAACTTTATTCATTATACTGTAATGTACTTGTCAAAATACAATCAAGTTTCTATTATCCACATCAAAGAATTGTGAATGCATTTGCAGTTAGACTGAGGTTTCTGCAGAGGACTTGTCTTACTGGAATTAACTTATGAAACTATTAAAATAAGCTCAATTGCTTATGCATACAAGTATGTACACAGGCAAATATGCCATAAAGTGCTTATAAATGGACAGAAATTGAGCTGCTCAATTTATAACTATTTCCCCATTGACAGTATTCATTTTCAGAAAAAAAGAAGATATGATTAGGAGAATGTATCTCATCCAGTAGTTTGGACTCCATTTTACTTAAAATTAAATTTATTAAAACTAAGTGATTCTCAAGTTCGTATTTCAGCATGTTGCTTTGAAAACATGAACATCCCTACCACTTCATTTCATTGCTTTTTAATATTTACAATTCACAGAAGATGGGCTGATTCCTTAAATTCTATATCTCACACTAGAAAGCAATGATTGTACTTGGAGAATCATTTTGACTGGATGGAACCTTAACTTCCAAAACAGCAACAGATCCTCTGAGAGGTTTTTTTTTTAACAGGCGAGTATCAATTCAAATATAGAGTTCAATGACATATTAGAAAAGTGAAAGTGTACCTCCAAGGCTCGAAGAACCTAAGCCACTTGGTTGCAAGCCAGTGCCAACGCCTGAGCCGAATGGCGTTCCAAAACTAACTCCCAGAGATGGCTGTGGCCCTGGTATAAAAAAAATGGGGGAAAAAACAAATTTGCCTTACTCTTTCAATATTAAAGTTTCTTTATGAAATTATTTTTAAAATGAACAATGAATACTTTGAACTAATTCCACTAAAACTTAGCTTTCAGGATGTCTCTCCAGCCTAATGTATCTATCCCAACGGATTGGCCTAGCCAAAAATCTAAAAAAAAAATTTTAATTAACCTGTTCAGAACTAGACAGTTAAAAGAGGCTTTATCATGAAAGATGAATGTTAGTTTAGTCTACTCAACAACCTGAAATCTTTACACATCATCAACTGTCGCTCCTTTATATTTACTTCCAGGGTTTTTTTAGACCTCCCCACTTGTTTTCTGATAACCAGTCAAGGTTTTTGTTTTTTAAAAAATGCAAGCACTCTGGTGTTAGAGTCAAGTCTCAATTGATCAAGAGAGACTGACACTAACATGGCAAAACTATCATGTTACTTCATAAAAGTACCCAAAAACTAGGCATGATTTCTTATATGAAATATAAATGATATATACAATAAATAGATAAAAAACAAGACAATGATTTATTTCATTAAATTTATTGTTCATTGTAAAGCAAATCAATTACACAGTAACATGACAATTCCAACTTGTTCACAAAAGTGGTAATTGAGTTCTATTCTTAAGCTCTGCTACATTACACCACTCGTCACCTGATTAAATAAGATAGATAATGAACATTTACAAAGGCACCGCTGTGTACCTTGACAGATTCAATACATTCAAGATTTCAATTCAGAAGTCTCTTTCCAACATCGGGGAAATGTACTCAGATGCAGAACGATTAGTCATTCTTTTCCCATTTGTTAAAGATTTTGGCTGAGTTTGTTTGGCAAGAATAGCATCAAACTTACTAGCCTCTCTTTTAAACTACTTTTTTTTTAACTAAGCAGAATACAAAAATCTAAAAATCTCTCAGAATAAATAATTTATGAAAATTATTCAATAGATTTCATAGTACAATCTTCAGTATTGTCTTTTTCAAGCACAGTGATCAGTGCATCTCAAAGTTGAGGGAACTACCAAAGTAATATACACAGTAAAATCTAAAATTTAAAGAAATCAAAGCCTTCAAGTTGTCCAATGAAGAATGAGGTTTGTCTATTCAAAAGGTAGTGTAAAATTGTGGAGCATTTAAGGAAAAACAACTGAGGAACTACATTTTGCTACAATGGGACAGAAACTGGACTTTTCAAATAGCTTCTACCCAGAAGAGCAAGAACAACAACTAACAGCAGCCAGAATTCTTACACTACTATTAAAAAAATAATTTAAAAAGGATTTAAAACTTTACATCCAGTTTGAGATCAATTTGAGAACAAAACGCCTGCCTAGCAGCTCTTTTGTAAAATGTTACTATAGGAAAAAAAACCCAAGCTATTACTTTTTTGATTTCTAACAAAAATAATATGTAGAAAAACACATGTCCAGTTTCTTTAACATTGAGAGACTTAAGTGTCACATGTTACCAGGAGGCACTGCTGGTGAAGACCCTAAGAAGAACGCACACCACAGCCCTCAGCCTCGTAAGTCAGGAGTCACTCAAATCACATGCTTTTTGTTGTGTGTGGGTCTGTTTTTAAGAGCAACAGAACATAGTTTCTCTAATCATCAATATTCAGGATATAGGTAATCAAGAACTCATGTGAAAAGATAACAAGACTTTCCATTGCACAACAGATACATAATATTTTGAGTTTTGAACCTTCACACAAATTCTGAAGGCAACATCATTTATAAAACTAGTAGGCAAATGTATAACATTTTTAAATAGTAAAAACTCATGATAAATATCTCCCATGCCAAAGTATTTAGCATATATTACACTCTGGCCACCCTATATACTAGTTTCACTATTAGAAAGCAGAATCTAAATCCTTCAGACAAAAATTACGTAAACAATTCAGTAAGACTGCTTTAAAATCTGAATAGTCATTCAATGAGAGGATCTTAGTTCCATAAATAAAATCAAGTTAGTAGTGATATATACCAATGATTGCCCAAGGTGAAATCTTCACGTAGAGTAACATTTTACAAAAGTTACCATATAATATATTCACACACAACAAAATCAGGTTTAACACTGTAATTCATATTTTCCAGAGTAAATTCTACTTTCTTAAAAGTAAAACTGCATTCACAGGAAAAGGACTAAAGTGCCAAAATTTTTAAATAATTTTCCATGGTCATTCAAAATGCCTAATATCATTAGTATGGTTATGCCTAAGTCTTATTTTAAAATAACAATTTTTCTTAAAAAACCTAAAATGCCTTTTCCCCAAGTTTGAAAAATTTTACTCTTACTGATTTAATGGGGAATGGTCCTTTGGTTATTAAATATAACAAAAATCACAAAACCACAAGAAACTATGATAAAACACTTAAAGTTTTCTACTTAACACTACACCTTAAATGTCCAAACCTACACTAGAAGCTAGAAAGTAGGAATTCCTAACAAAGTATCTCGGCTCTCCTTAAAACAGCAGCCAACTCATATAAGAAGAGTCTTAGTATGTAAACATTAATAAATGTTAAAAGTGTCAAAACACAACAGGAAACTCAATCCCAGGTACATTGCTTAAAAACCTAGCCTAAATTAAAACAATACTGAAAAATCTAATGTAAACATCTTAAGTTTGCAGGAGGCTTGGGAAGCACTTGTAGCCAAGCGTCAAGTTCTGCCAACATATCACTACCTGACCCATGTTCTGGGTGCTCATTTCACACACAGATCGCTTGCTGGTTTTTTATCAATTCTCTTCAGCCTTCAGAACAAATAACCATGAATCACACATGCCTCAGCCCTATTACATATGTATATTTCATTACAGAGAACTGAAGAAGGATAAAGAAGTCATCTTCTCTATTCCTCTGCCTCCAAGAAAGACAACACCGGAGCCACCTTCAGAAGGCAGCAGTCTCTAAGAACCTGCTCACTCTGAGCCCATAGTTACATTAACAAAGTCAAGAATCCACATGCAAATAAAAGCAAAACCCTTCTGATAATTCAAATCTTGTAAGGATCAACGGTCACATAAAAAAACAGTGCACAAGCTCTATCTAGCTTCATCTGGATGGTCTAAAATTTGTTATTAGCATTTAAGTATTTCATGAAGGGTACAGGGCATAAGGAATAAATCACTGGGTACAAAACACAACGCAATAAATAGGAACATTTCTAAATAGGCTGTAACTCATAGAATCATTATATACGTATCAAACTGAGGTCATAAATCTCAAAATCATGTGGCATAACTAAAATAACTAATATTCTGACTGGGAGGGGCTGGGAGACTCTTAGAAACAAAAAGGAAAAGAGAAGACACAATACAAAATCATTATCACTGTTGCTTAACTTCTCAGTTCTAAGAATTCTTACAACTCAAAATGAAACACTAAGACTGTTCGGCTCATCGATGCCAATTCCTACCAACTGACTAGAAAGCCCTTAGGTGGGCTTCAGAACTGCAGGGACACTGAGAGCAGGCAGACTCCCGTGGCTGGCAGGAGCCAGAAAGAAGCAAGCACACAAGCAAAGGAGCCTTCAGGAGACTTCGGCGGGAGCCAAGACTCTGCCACAGGCAAAGGCCAAGCCTGCACTGCCCACCTCTGCAGCCCCTGAGCCTGGCACAGAGCAGGCAGTCACATGGAGAATGAATGTGTCTTCATGGGTTCATGAGCCCAAAATACGTGCATGAAGCCCTGGGGGCTTCTTGAGGTGAGAATGCCCGCACAGGAAAGTTGAAAAACCACAATAAAAAACCTTGACAGGAGGCTCTGCTTCAAGTGTAGGCATTTGCCACAGATGCTCACTTACAGCATAACACTTTACACAACTGGCTTCTCAAGCTTTACTCAGCAGATTGGAAATCCACCAAGTTTGAAGAACACTTAACCAAACCGACACTTGTCTGATGTACGTTAGGGTTAATATTGGCTCTAAAAAGTAAACTGGTCCTATGGCTGGTTTGATTAGCTGGTTAAATAATCATGAGAACTGATGGTCGCTGGAATCCAACTGACGGATTCCTTGGGAGAATCAATCCTGTAATGACCTCTGTCCTCCATAGCTTGATGTGATCCACACGCCAGCCAGCTAGAGAGCTACCAGACAGTGCTCTTGGGAGCACTCTTCACAGGGGTCCAGTCAGGGAATGTGGAAGATTTGGCATAAATCCATCATCAACCCTCTACCAATGGCAATTCAATTGTGTCGTCTCCAAATGTGAAGAACAATTTCTTAAACTGCCAATCATGAAAACCTGAGAGTGCTTCTCTGGTACAGGTAGCCTGAATGCAATCTAAATATGTACTTTTAACTTTTTTTTGTATTCTATTTTATTACTGGTGACTATATGGAACTCTCAGAAAGACGCGTGTTATAGAATAACTAGTAAGCATCATTCAAATATTTACGAATTATTAAAGAAAAAATCAATATCCACCTAGACTGTGTTTTTTCTATGTCAAACTTCAAACTCTGACAAAGGGACTAAGGAGTAAGAAGACAAGTAATAACCTCCAGAAGACACAGGACCAAACACAGTAGAACTAGACCACCAAAGTACTTCGCTGGCAAGACATGGAGTCAAACCAGGGCTAAAACCATCTGCTTTCCAGCATCTCACCAATCATTTTCATCTGCGCAACTTCCCAGGTCCTTCTGAATGTGCAAACCACATCTTAAGACATCTTTCTCTGGATCTTGCTACTGTTCTGTTCACCTTGAAAACTAGCATGTACCTTCTTCAAAATCTGGTTTACAGGGCCCATACAAACCTACTGATCTTCAACACCCTCCAGTCAATAAAAGCGAACTTCATCCTGAATGTGGGTACTATGTAATCACTACATAAGAGGAAGATAAGAATGCACCATCTATCAGTATCATATATGAAAAATGCAACGTATGGATAGATTATCTCTGACTTTAGAACAATAAAAGATACAATCACGATTTTAGGATCTAATGTTAGCCTTAAATGTAATTCAGTAGTGAAACACCATGTTCTAAAGGGCATTTATAGCAATACAGCAAATAACATTAAATAAATTCACAATAGTCAGTACCTAATTGATGTATAATTATTGCTAAGACTACCCTGCACTTTCAATCAGGTGTGTTTATAATTGTGTCCATCACAATTTTTAGATTGTATTGGAACAGCTATTCATAGAAATTTCTTCAGTGCTCACACAAATGGAAGACTTATAAAAATGCACATAAATGTTCTGCATTGGAACAGTAAGAAGCTATAACTTGAATGTGTTCAGACCTGGAGCAGGCTGTTGCTGCTGTGTAAGTGTCGCAGCCATGGCAACAGCGGCTGCGTTTGGCATGGTGCTGAATGGGGTGGGGCCCGTCGTGACGCGCGGCGCGTTCTGCCACTTCTTGGCTTCCGCTCGTCTGGCTTCAAATACATCTACGGCATCTCCCAGGAACATCTTCCTATAGCCCAGGTACTGTTCCTTGAGTACCTACAGGAATAAAAACAACAACACAAGGCTTATCAAGTTCCACAATGACTCTGGTAATATGAGAATGAAAGTAACCATGAAACAAGTTACCAAAGACAGATCAAAACACTGCTGATAGGATACACGCCTCTGGACTGCACATCAGAGCATTCACAAGGCACTTGGTGTCGGAAGAGACGAGTTTGAGAGTCCTAGCACTTCTTTGAAGATTTTATTCCCTTCTTTGGGTTGCATGCTGTCTAAAATATTCTGGCTTCACGAGGCATTGTTTAAAGTAAGCCAGCTATGCCTATAGACAAGAGTCATATTCAAATGAATATGCTACTTTTCCATGAATTTTTGCCCTCAAATGTCCAACTTTTTCAGACTTTAGATTAAACAGCTTTAAAAAAAAGGAAAGAAAAAACCCATCATTAAATATATCTTTTTAAATGTATTTTTAAAGGCCAGGGTAAATGTCACACTGTAAAATGTCCCACCTCGGCAGAGAGCGCCTAGAGGGGATGATGAGGGCTTCTACTTTATCAATAGGGCTTGACTGTTACACCACAAGAACGAGTCATGTGATTCACAAGCTTGTGACCCCAAACCACACACAACAAAGAAGTCTGTAACTCCAGAGCAAGAAAAAATTCCAAGTTCAAAAAGTGGTTTGCCCTACTCAACGCAAACAGCTGCCTTGATTAAGGCCATTAACAGGAAAGATTCAGTTTCACTTTAGAATTACCTAATACTTTTTACAGGTCTGGTCTAATTTAGATAGATTTTATACCACTTTTTGAAGATATGTAGAGTTTTCATAATTCTTACTTTTCTTAGCAGAAATTAATAAATACTAGGCTCTTTCATTATAACAGGACAGTACTGAGAAATCTTACTGTTATTTATAGTGTTTAAAAGCTATCATCACCATTTTTACGTATGTATTTGATGTTCCAGTTCCAAACTTTGCTACCTTTACAATGTACTAAAAAAGTGGGGCTGCCAGCAACTGAAAATTGCAGGAAAAGCAAAGTCGAAATCCAGGCACAAGAAAAACAAAACATACTCCTCTTCCTAAATAAATACATCATTCTTTCCTGTGCAATTCCATGTGCATCCCCACACAATGCCAAGCATTGGGATCCCATTGAGTTTTATTCTACATCAGATAATGGGAAATAATGACTCACCTTAGAAACTTGAAAAAGAATTAGTTAAGACAAACAAACAAACAACAGATCTGACATCAGGTTATGTGTTATATAACAAATGGCCAAAACTTCCACATTTGTTAATATCACTGAGGCTTGACTGCATTAGGTAGTTTAAGCCTGTTTCAACAGACTTTCTAATGAAAAACAAAACTAAAAAACAAAACATACCTCTTGAGAGATTCCTATAAAAAATTCAAGTCTAGAACTTACAGGTAGTTTGCTCACTAAACTAAGCTGAAAATATAAATGGCAATATACCAAATCTGATCACAGAATGTCCTTTGGTTCTTGGAAATGCTATTTAATATAAAAAAAAAAAAAGGCTGGTTATGGTGGGTCCAGTCATCCCAGCACTTTGGGAGGCAGAGGCGAGAGGACTGCCTGAGCCCACAGGCTTGAGACCAGACTGGGCAACATGGCGAGAACTCATCTCTACAATGAATAAAAAATTAGCCAGGTGTGTTGACCACACCTATAACTCCAGCTACTTGGAAGTCTAGAGCAGAAGGCTCACCTCAGCCCAACAGACTAGGCTCAGTGGCCTGAGTATGCCATTGCACTCCAATCTGGGATACAGAGACCCTGACTCAAAAAAAAGAGAGAAAGAGAAGGTCAAAATCTCATGGTAAGGCTATTCAACATGATCTGGGGCTGTTTTATGATTATGGTACCAAAAACAGTATATCTTTCAAACCAGAGAGGTAACATGTCATTAAAAAAACATGCTTATTTATAGCTGGGATTTGTTTTAAAAACACTTTGGGGAGGAGGGGAGCAGTTCTGCGTGGGGCACTGACAAAACAAGCCCAGCAGATCCCGATTGATGGCTGAAGTCAGGTGGCGGTGTGGTAGTCACTGTAATGCTAGTCAACTCTTGTGCATATTTGGAAGATTTCACAATACAAATTAAAGGGAAAAACACAGGTACAACCCAGTCTCCAAAGCGCCAAAGGGGAAGCTTCAGCAGTTTAAAAACTTACAGTCACATTTATTTTTTATTTTTTATTTATTTATTTTTTGAGCTGGAGTCTCACTCTGTCGCAGACTGGAGTGCAGTGGCCGCTCCCGGCCACCACAGCCTCGACCTGCTGGGCTCCGGAGATCCTTCCGCCTCAGCCTTCCAAGTAGCCGGAATTACAGGTGCGCTCTACCACACCCGGCTAATTTTTTGATTTATTGTAGAGATGAGGTCTCGCTGCCCAGGTGGGTCTCAAACCTGCGGTCTCAGGCAATCCACTCACCTCAGCCTCCCAAAGGCAGGGGATTACAGGCTGAGCCACCGAGCCCGGGTACAGCCACATTTATTATAGATTAATAAAATTTTCCCAAAAATCTAATAATAATTCCTCCTTTAGAACAAAATTATCTTACAGATTTGGATTAGAGTTTTAAATCTACTAAAGCAAAAGGTCTAAAAGTGTGCTACCATTTCAAAAAGAGTGTAATTTAAATGGCTGACTTTTTAAAAACTTCTGTTATCATGTATCAGATTAAAATAAATGGAAAATACTGATAATCCAAATTAAACTCTATATTGCATAGTTAAAAATCCAGTAAGACTCAGGTTTGGCTACTTTGAATTTTAAAGGTTTTTTTTTTTTGGATCACTTATGCTCTAAGAAAGAATTTAACACATCTGGTTGGTCAGGTGGAAAAGTATATTTACATTTAACATTACATTTAAATAAATTTTTAAAGCTAGCCGGGCTTGGTGGCTCAGCCTGTAATCCCGCGCCTTAGAGAGGCTGAGGTGAGTGGAATGCCTGAGCCCGCGGGTTCAAGACCCGCCTGGGCAACGAGACCTCATCTCTACAATAAATCAAAAAATCAGCCGGGCATGGTAGCACATGCCTGTAATTCCGGCTACTTGGAAGGCTGAGGTGGAAGGATTGCCAGAGCCCAGCAGGTTGAGGCTGCGGTGGCCGGGAGCGGCCACTGCACTCCAGTCTGGGCGACAGAGTGAGACTGCAACTCAAAGAAAAAAAAAAATTTTTTTTAAAGCTAAACATTATTATGTGAAGATCAAAATATTCAGATACGTTATTTTATTTACATTACTTAATAAATACAAATAGTTCCCTGTATTTAGAAGGGAGAAATGATATAAGCAAGATTTTTATGCAGTGTCTAATAAACATCTAAAATACATAAAATTAATGCAATGCAAAATGATGTGGCTACTAAGAATGTTTACTGTCTGTAGGGTTATTTATAGTGGTAAAGAGACAGATACAACTTAAAATGTCCAACAACTGAGAATGAGTTAGACAACTTATGTACAAACATACAATCAACTTCTACAAAACTACTAAACACGATATTGAGGAAATACATGTATAAACATGGAAAGTTATTCACAATATACTGGTGAAAAAAATCAGAAAAACAGATTGTACAGGCACTTGGACATTTTTAAAAGAATAGATATTATCACTGATAGTGTCTACATATGATTATGGATTACAGTAGTTTTCATCTTTTCACTTACATGCAGACAGATTAAGTGGCAATGAAAACTTACCTTTACATTTTCATGAATAGACTGAAGTTGTGCAGCTAAAGCTACAAATGTTTGATAAATTTTCTGCATAGCCATTGACAAATCTATAAAAGAAAATTATATTATCATCCAAATATATACATATATATATATATATATATATATGTAAAACACAATCAATTTTACTACTTGAGTTCAATTTTTGGCATAGCTAAAACTCTTATCAATTTTCCCAGGGTCGAAGAAGACACAGATTGAGGAGACCAAGAAAAGACTGTCTCCATCAGTGGCCTAAGCTCCTGCCCTTGTTACCATAATAACATTTCACAATATAGCATTCTACATTTACTGGGAAAAAGATCTAAGCAAAGACTTTTAAAGAAAGTTTCTTAAAGCTGCTTAAAACAACTACTAGCAATTGTCTTAAACTATAGAATACCTATTATACAACCACAGTTTAATCTCTCTTCTACCAATAAAATTTCAAAAAACATCGCCATAGTACACATGTTACCTTGAGGGGTTATATGTGAATTATTTGCTTGAGTGGCAAGATGGTTTTCTAGTTCTTCAATTTGCTGTCTGTACTGCTGAAGCTGTACTTCAAACTGCTGAACCAAGATTCTGAAGTAGCTATCAAAAAAATTTTGAAAGTCAGATCAAATTTTTTTAAAATATATTTTCTTTTTCTTTTTCTTTTTTTTTTTGGGTTGGAGTCTCACTCTGTCACCCAGACTGGAGTGCAGTGGCCGCTCCCGGCCACCGCAGCCTCGACCTGCTGGGCTCCGGCGATCCTTCCACCTCAGCCTTCCAAGTAGCTGGAACTACAGGCGTGCGCTACCACGCCTGGCTAGTTTTTGATTTATTGTAGAGATGAGGTCTCGCCAAGTTGCCCAGGCGGGTCTCAAACCCTCAGACTCAGGCAATCCACTCACCTCAGCCTCCCAAAGTGCGGGATAATAGGCTGAGCCACCGAGCCTGGCTAAAAATATATTTTCTTTATATTCAAAATATCAAATAAATAAATATCCCCATTTGAGTACGGTATTGGAATTAATTTGAGGATATAATGTATCTTTAAGTGACATTGATATTATCACTGAAACAAAAACCCAAATGGTGTAAATCATCACGGCATTATTCCAAGTTTGAGTGACAAATACAAATTAAAGAATATGCTACTGGCTCAGCCTGTAATCCCACGCTTTGGGAGTCTGAGGTGAGTGGATTGCCTGAGCCCGTGACCCGCCTGGGCAACTTGATGAGACCTCATCTCTACAATAAATCAAAAAATTAGCCGGGCGTGGTAGCGCATGCCTGTAGTTTCAGCTACTTGGAAGGCTGAAGCGGAAGGATCGCCGGAGCCTAGCAGGTCGAGGCTGCGGTGGCCGGGAGCGGCCACTGCATTCCAGTTCGGGTGACAGAGTGAGAATCCAACTCCAAAAAAAAAAAAAAGAATATTCTACAAAATAAGTTAACTTAATAGTCTGCAAGGAAACACTGCAAAACTGTTATACATTGGAAGAAATTAAGCAGAAACTACAAGTAAATGCAAGGTGAACCCCAAATAGGATATGGGAACAGAAAAGGGACATTAGTGGAAAATAGGTTAAGTTGAAATACGTTCTGCAAGCCAAGCTCGGTGGCTCAGCCTGTAATCCCGCGCCTTTGGGAGGCTGAGGGGAGTGAATTGCCTGAGCCCGTGGGTTCAAGACCCGCCTGGCCAGCGAGACCTAATCTCTACAATAAATCAAAAAATCAGCTGGACGTGGTAGTGCATGCCTGTAATTCCGGCTACTGGGAAGGCTGAGGCGGAAGGATCACCGGAGCCCAGCAGGTCGAGGCTGCGGTGGCCAGAAGCGGCCACTGCACTCCCGCCTGGGCGACAGAGTGAGACTCCAACTCAAAAAAAAAAGAAATACGTTCTGCAGTGAATTTACTAATACTGCACCATTGTTAGCTTCCTGTCCTTAACAATGACACCAATTATATAATATGTTAACACTGGGGGGGAAGCAAGGTGAGTGATAGGAGGAAATTCTCTGTAATACTATTTTTACAAATTCTCTGTAAGTCTAAAATAAGTTTTAAAACAAAGTTAAAAGTACAACTGTCAACCAGATTTCACACCTACATACGAACAGTTCTCACAGTACTGACACTGATAATAGAGAACACTACAGTATACCAGAGAGCACAGGTCATTTACTGCTGCTACTCTAATTTAATCAGAGAGTGCTAGATAAACAGACCTAGAAGAGTATGCGAAGGATTCTGAGTATTTTTCTGTAAGAAATGGGCAGCCGCAAAAGATTTTTGCAAGATTAGTTCTGATAGTTGACAGCAATGTGAAAAACAAGACAAAAGATCAATTCTCAAGGAGGTACATCCCACGCTCATCAGAATAAGATAACATGAGTATCACTGTCACTGGACACGGTGACTCATACCTGTCATCTCAGCACTTTGGGAGGAGATGAGAGGACTGCCTGAGCTCAGGGGTTCAAGACCAGCCTGGGCAAGTTGGTGAGACCTTGTCTCTATAACAAATCAAAAAATTAACTGGGTGTGTTGGCATGTGCCTGTAGTCCCAGCTATTTGGAAAGCTGAGATGAAAGGATTACCTGAGCCCAGGAGGTTGAGGCTGCAGTGGCCATGAGCATGCCACTGCACTCCAGCCTGGGCAACAGAGTTAGACTCCAACTCAAACAAAACAAATAAAACAAAACCAGAAGCATCACTATCATCGTTAATTCCTGATTTTGATGATTACATTGTGTCTAAGACATTATCTTTATTTTTAAGAAAGATACACTAAGTACTTTAACATAGTGAACATTATTTCCACATATAAACTTTCTGAGGGTGTGGGGGGAGAAATGTACATATAGAGAGCAAGGAACAAAAACACATATAGCAAAAATGCTTATGCGCAGGAAATCAGAATAAAAGGTATATGGAAAGTTTTCTTTCTTTTAAGAGGCAGGGTGTGGCTCTCACCCAGGCTGGAGCGCAGCGGTGCAATCATGGCTCACTACAGCCTTGACCTCACAGGCACAAGTGACCTTCCCGCTCAGCTTCCTGAGTAGCTGGAACTACAGGAGTGTACCACTAAGCCCAGCTAATTTTAAGACTTTTTGTAGAAACAGCGTTTTACTATGTCGCCCAGGCTGGCTCAAAACCTGGCCCCAAGAGATCCTCCTGCCTCAGCCTCCCAACGTGCTGGGTTGTCACAGGCGTGAGCCACTATGCCCAGCCAATTTTTGATTCTAGTCTTTAAACTTTTCTGTAAGTCATAAGTTAAAAATAATAAAAAGTTAAAAGAAAAAGGACTAGCCACCAAACAGCCCGCCCTCACTCCCAACCCACCTCTGCATTTCTCAGTCTCCTTGTCACTAAAACTGGAATGACAACAGCTATTGCAGTTTGGTGACAAATATAAGGTAAAGGATGCAGGGTGCTAAGCGCTGGTAAATATTTGCTTTTATTATCTATCAATGTAGACAGAGACAAGCCACATATCACACACATGGAAGTTAGAAGGACATAAAAGCTGAGTGGTGAGAAGGCGGGGGGTGTTTTCTGTTACTCATCTATATTTTCTAGTTATTATTCCAGAAGATGTATTACCTATGTAAACGAGTAAAAGCTAAGCAAATAAGCAAAAGTGTTAAACCATATTTAGTCTGCCCCATTGAAGCATGCGCCTATCACAGAATTATTTTTAAATTAAGCATCCTAATAAGTAAAAATTAAGTCTCTACTACCTGTGAAATTTAATAAAAATGGGATGACCCCGTAGGTAATATCTGCATGAAACGTAGCTACGCGACAGTGGTAAGGAGCTCAGAGCACAGCCTTCACTTACCCTTCAGAGAAATAGGCTAAAAATGGGGGGGAAACCTTCTTAGGCTTATGAGAAATAAATGTAAACAGCCATGCAAAGGGCTTATTAACCCAGCCTTTCCACACAGTAAACAAAAGTTTCCCAGTTTGTATATTATTATTACTGATCTGTTTTCTTAGAGTGAAAATTATTTGTTTTTAAAAATCCGGTCACTTACTCAGCAGGAGCTGTGTTTTCATGGTGAAGCCCAGGTGGTGTCTTCTGGGTTCTCAAAGCTATCTCAGCATTCTTTAACTCCTAATATACCGAAAGTTTAAAAAAAAAGCCAGTTAAAAGTTAGGTTAAAAAATATCAACTATCTCTGAAGTGAAACTTCAAGCAACAACACTGTTGGAGGCTCATGCTATAAGATTATACTATATACAAAGCAGTTTTACAAGATGCTAAAACCTCTTTCAAGAAAAGAAAAAAATCACATTTTTAACAAACTTTATAGTAAAATTATACCGAGCTACTGCTGTTTTTAAAACTATGAATTTCTCTAACATTAAGGGAAAAGATTCTGCTACTATTCAAAATCTTTAATCTACAAATGCAGAAGACATTTTCCTTAAAAGGCGAGAAATAATAACGTGAGGCTGATGTTGCAGCACGAACATCTGGGTGCTCACCATACACCAAGCACTGTGCTAAAGGTGTTTTACTTTCTATTTTGGTGACATCTCGGTGATCACCCTATAACGTAGGTAACGTTTCTCTTTTTACATACGAAGAAACAGAGTTCCAGAGACATTAAGTACCTGGCCCAAGCCACGTTTGCTGGAAGACTAGAACTAATTCTATTAGAGCTCACACACTTGACCGGTCTTACACTGCCTTCTCCTGTTCCTCAATGCCTTTTCTAACTTCTAGTCAATGTTTTTTCGGGACCAGCATTGTCTTACTCCCGTACATTCCAAAGTCTTGCCACTGCACTGCTTTTCAACCTCTATTTTTCTTATTTCAAAAGGAGTACTTTAACTTTATATTCCAGGTAGCAGCCTCTTTCCCTGTTGTCAAGCTGTTAAGCCTGTAACTTCCTTCCACTTCTTTTACACTCTACAACTCAGGCTTCCATCCCATCCACTCTAGTACAAATACGCTGCAGGGGTCTGAGCATTCCAGAACCTGACCCCCACCTTCCTCTCTCAGTACAGACTCCTGCCGGGCCCAGACCCCTGCAAACTGCGTGCAGAGCCTCAGACACACCTAGTTCATGCCTCCATGCCTTGTTCTTTCCTTCTGTCAGCCCAGGGAACACCTCCACCTGTCTCAAGACTCCATGTAAAGGTCTCCTACACTGGACAGATGATAAGAGTTGCCCATTTCAGCCCTTCAAGTCCTGCTATATCCTGTACCTGGATCACAGAAGCTGACACAGTTAACTCTCTCTCAGTAGTATACGTTTTGATTCCTAATTACTGAGGAAATGCTTGGCACTATATACAAAAAAGAACTTTTAAAAATGTTCACTGAAGGCCGGGCACGGTAGGGTCATGCCTATAATCCCAGCACTTTGGGAGGCCAAGGTGAGAGGATCGCCTGAGCCCAAAGGTTAGATACCAGCCTGGGCAACTCGACAAGACCTCATCTTTACAGTAAATCAAAAACTTAGGGCAACCCCTTTGGGTTCCCTCCCACTGTGGGAGTTTCTCTGCCTTCTCAATAAATCTGGCTTCCTCCCCCCAAAAAAGGGAAAAAAATTTCAAAAAATTAGCCAGACTTGGTGGCGCATTCCTGTAATTCCAGCTATTTGGAAGGCTGAGGCGGAAGGATCACCTGATCCAGCAGGCTGAGGATGTGGTGGCCCTGAGTGTGCCACTGCACTCCAGCTGGGATGACAGAGTGAGACTCCAACTCAAAACAAACAAAAAGTTCATTGAATCACTGGAATAAACCATCTGGCACACACCACACCCTCAAAGGACTAACCACCTTACTTATAATTTAAATTACCTAATTATTTGCCAAAAAACAAGGTATATAAAATACCTAGCTCTAGCTTTCATTAGATTCTGGTCTTCCCTCCTAATCCCAGAACTGATTTTAATTCTCAGAAAGGATTTCTTTGAAGAAAATGCTTTGGGGTTCGATAAGACTGATGAACTACTTCAAGGGATTCAGAATACTTTTTCAACTGGTAATTCACTAGAACCTTGGGTGAGTACCAGTTCCAGTAAATCAGAAGCAAGAGTCAGCTTGGACCATATTTCTTTTATACAGTCTCTAAAAGTTTGCAGGTCGGGTCAGATGAGCTTTAACCCCTGCCCCCTCCTCCTCCATCTCCCTCAGGGCCCTCAATCTTTCATTACTCCGTTTACCTCCTCAACTTGAGGAGCTGTCTTTTCTAAGAGACTCAAAACAAACCTGCTACATAGCAGCTACATCAGGAATATTTGCGAATAAAATTATGTGGAGCTGCAAGGGGTCCCATGTGTTCATTTCTTTCTCTTCCATTAGTTTGCTAATGAGATTTTCTATATAACTTAAAAATACGCATGTGATGACTACAAAGAATAGTGGGGAAGAAACACAGTGCGGCAACACAGTTTGAAGATTCATTACCCAAAATGCTTGGGATCAGAAGAATTTTGGATTTCAGATTTTTTCAGACTTTAGAATATTTGCATATATATATATATCTGATGAGATATCTTGGGGATGCAAACCGAGTCTACAGAAAAAATTCTTTTGTACTTCATATACATCTTAATCACATAGCCAAGGGAAATTTTATAAAATATTTTAAATAATTTTTTAAAATACGAAACATAGATACATTCTGACTGCAACCCATGACATGAGGTCAGGTGTAGAGTTCTCCATTTGTAGCATCATGTCAGTGCTCAACAAGTTTTGGATTCTGGAGCATTTCAGATTTGAATTTTTGGATTAGGGATGCTCAACCTGTGCTCTTCATATTTAACCAAAAAATGCAACCAAAAATTTGGACCCAGAAATCTGAGGACAGTAAAGTCTGCCACTTCTGCTCTTATGAAACACAGTTAGTTAAGAACACAAACCGGGGAGGTGGATTACCAGAGTCTGAATCCAGGCTCTCCAATTTATTAGCAACGTTCTCTGCCTGTTTTCTTATAACAATATATACCTTGTAGGGCTTTCAGGAAAACTAAACTGGTTTAATAGATATAAACTGCTTAGGATACTGTCTTGTACACAATGAACACTTAGTAAAAACGAGCAACTATTATTATTACAGCAACTTAAAAGTATATGAGCTATCTGGCTTTCTTGCAGTATGTCTGTATCAAAATTAATAATTTTTTTTTGTGCCCTATATCCAATGTGGAACAAACCCTCCAGGAAAATGGCTGGGTATACCTGGGCAGTCTCGACTTTCAACTTGTCAATGTTGAGAGTGTTTCTCTGTAATCCACTGGCAGCCAACGAAAGCAGCTGCTTCAGAGCCTTAATGTCTTCTTGAACTTTAAGCATTGCTTTGGAAGACATTCTACTAATTTCTTCCTGGACCTGCTTTTGCTCCTTCACAAATTTCCTTAAAAAATAAATAAAAATGAGTTAAAAAGAAAACTACACCTTTGTTTCCTACAGTAAAAAAAATTACATTTAAGAGAGGCTGGTCAGAGTTCAAACAAAACCTAAAAATTCATCTACAGTTCATACACTTCTTTTACAGAACGGCAATCACACAATTTTAATTCTGTTGAAAGTTTTAATCCAAGTTAAAACGCTCAGGAGGAAGAGCTGTTCCCCTGAAGACTACTCTAGAATTCTTCAAATACGATTCATCTAATTAACTTGATACTTACTGGAGATTTTCAACATCCTGGCAGATGACAGGAGGCAGATTTTCATCCTTCAGTGCTTTACTATCCCTAAGAAAAATGTCACAATTATATTAAACCCACAGGTCTTTAAAAAGTTGACAGCGGAGTTTTACTAGAGTATGTATTAAGATAGAAAACACAGCAAAGAAGCATTGATAGTTTCTCTTAATAACTTCCAAGTTATTTATAAAAACAGTAAATTTCCTATAAATAGAACCTATAAAATAATTAACAATTTATTTGACATGAAGATTTCTTATCTAAGCATCTATGATAAATATACTTTAAAGTATGTCACTAAATGTCTAGGGAAAAAACGGAAAATACTATAAAATTAGTTAAGATGGTGAAATAAGTTCCCTTGGGCTCAAAGATTCAGAGACTGATATTTTATTCAGCTCCCAAATATTAAAATCTATAAAATGTCTTATAACAAAATAATCAAAATAAATTTTATTTTTATAATTTCAATTAGTTCTTCAACATGCACTGAAATAAGAAAGTAAGACCTAGGAGAGCTAAAGGGAATTACAAATTTTTTTTTTTTTTTTTTTTTGAGTTGGAGTCTCATTCTGTCGCCCAGACTGGAGTGCAGTGGCTGCTCCCAGCCACTGCAGCCTCGGCCTGCTGGACTCCGGCGATCCTTCCGCCTCAGCCTTCCGAGTAGCCGGAATTACAGGCATGCGTCACCATGCCCAGCTGATTTTTTGATTTTTGTAGAGATGAGGTCTCGCTGCCCAGGCAGGTCTCGAACCCGTGGGCTCAGGCAATTCACTCACCTCAGCCTCCCAAAGGCGCGGGATTACAGGCTGAGCCACCGAGCCCGGCAAATTACAAATATTTAACAAGGACAGGCACAAGTGAAATCTGGCAAACTATAATGGAATCATGAATTATATTTCATAACCCAAGGTAGATCTCAGTCTCCCAGTCTTCTTCATTTTCACTGTAAGCTAAAACATACACAAGATGTTTGTGAGGAGTAAGCTTGATCATCTGTTTACAAATGCTTTATTTAATATAATACAAATTAAGTGAGACAATATAATTAGTGATAAAAATGACCATGGTAATTGGTAATAAATATAGTGACCATTTTCAAACACATTTATGATGTCCATACAGGCTACACTCCCTCTTCACTGAAGATATCAGCAAATAAAATGATACTAGCATAGTAATTTACATATAAGCAAAGACGCATCAAAAGTAAGATTCCATGAGTTGTTCAGTATCTAACAGGTTTTTTTGTTTTTTTTAAGTTGGAGTCTCACTCTATCTCTCAGACTGGAGGGCAGTGGCCGCTCCCGGCCACCACAGCCTCGAGCTGCTGGGCTCCGGCGATCCTTCCACCTCAGCCTTCCAAGTAGCTGGAATTACAGGCACACGCTACCACGCCCGGCTGATTTTTTGATTTATTGTAGAGATGAGGGCTCGCCAAGTTGCCCAGGCAGGTCTCGAACCCGCGAGCTCAGGTGATCCACTCACCTTGGCCTCCAAAGTGCAGGATTGCAGGCTGAGCCACCAAGCCCGGCCTCTAACAGGTTTTAAAAAGATATATTTGTATTTATTTGTGTTATTTTGGAAATCACCAAACACCTTTCTAGAAAGAATTTTAAATTTTCTTAATGACTAACTAGGAGAGATTTGATCTTTCATAATTTTTCCAGAACACATGTTTATTATTTTGTTTTTGACAAACACTATTTAAAAAAAATTTTTTATTCTAAATATGCTCATGGTTCTATTATTATATCATATGGCTTCAATTTAATAAGCAAAACTCTCTAATTAAAATATCTTAAAGTAAAACTTGTAAACTTACTCTGGTCTTGTTCCTGTTTTATCACCTAGAAAATTCAAGAAGCTTCATGTAAAAAATAAGTAATTCAACCAAGTATTCTAAACATGTTTTAAAAGAACACAAATTAAGACATTAACATAAACTGCCAAGCATTTCTTAGCTTTCTCTCAAACAGCATGTGATGAAACTTGTCCTAAATGTGGAACACTATGCATATTATTCTGACACTTTACATAAGGACTCTGCATCTACTTTCAAAGGCAAGAATCTTCCCTTCTCAACTATCTTTCATGAAAAGTACACTGCGTGGTTAATTTGATATTCTTGCCTACCAGTTTAACTCCTTTTTTAAAAAAAAAAAAGAAAAAAGAGAGAGAGAGTCTTACACTGTTGCCCAGGCTGGAATGCAACGATGAACCCTGTTCACAGAAGCCTCAAACTCTTGGGCTCAAGTGACAACCCCCACCTCAGCCTCCCCAGTAGTTGGGACTACAGGCATGGACCAGCATGCCTGATGAGTTACTTATTGTTCGTAGAGATGAGGGTCTTACATGCTGCTCAGGTTGGTCTTGAACTCCTGGCCTCAAGTAACCCCCCCACCTTGGCCTCCCAAGTGCCGGAATTACAAGCATGAGCAACTACACCAGGCCCCATGTAATCCCCGCGAGCTTTACCTGACATTGTTGAAGGCCGTATCAGTATGGAATACTATGTCAGATCACCTGGACTTCTCCAATCTGACAACCCCTTAGAATTACCATCCCAATTTACTTTCCCATCTGCCATGAATACCTTCTGTAGACATCACAGCCTCACAATAAGGGCATATTTTTTAAAAAACTTTCCCATACAGGTGAAAATGCCACTTCATTATAATCTCGATTGATATTTTGTACAGTACACTGAACAAAGACATTTTCTTCAAATGCTCATTAGACAAATGTATTTTTCCTTTTGTGAACCGCCTACTCATGTGATTTGTGCATTTTTCTTGAGGTAATTTTCTCATTTACTTCTGAGAGCTATTTCAACATTAAGCATATTAATTCTTTGTCTCATTCATATCATTTCACGTGTCTAAGATTAGACTCATTTGTAAGATACAGCTCGATTTCAGAGTTTTTAAAATGTAAAAAAATAAACCATCTAAAAATCAAGTTTACTTCAAATGTGTCATTTACTTTTGACCTCTGTAAATGGTAAACATGGGGTTTTACTTTTTTACCTCTTATCCAAATGTAATTTATTTTTCCATATTTTAGTCTCATTAAGTTTTTCCCATATTTGAATATCTCTGAAATGAGCACAATTTAAATTAACATAGCATAAATGATGCTTTAGATTTGATGAGACATGGAAATAAAAATTTATCTTTATATCTTTCCAAATAATTCAACAACTTTTTAATTGACTAGTGTACTATCTCTTTGAATACTACATTCTTATTATACTTTACAAATATTTTGTCAGGTGCAGTGGCTAATGTCTATAATCCCAGCTCTTTGAGAAGCAGAAGCAAGAGAATTGCCTGAGTCTGGGCAACTTGGCAAGACCTCGTCTCTACAGTAAATCAAAAAATTAGCTGGGCATGGTGGCGTGTGCCTGTGGTTCCAGCTATTCGGAAGGCTGAGGCAGAAGGACTGTCTGAGCCCAGCAGGTCAAGGTTGCAGTGACTGTAATGCACTGCATGCCAGCCTGAACGACAGATTGAGACTCCATCTAAAAATAATTTTAAAATGTATTTAAATACACACAAACATGCATGTAAAAAACGTGGGCATGTTTCCGCGACAGGATCCTGACTGTACCAGTCTCCCTGGCTTTGCCTCCGTAGCACACATGGCCCACTGCAAGGGGCCTCAGTGGCTCCCACCTCAAGAACTCTGACAGCTCTTCACATCTACCGCTGCCGCCTTTACAGTTTCCCACCCGGCTGTCAGAACACTCTTACTCTCAAAACACGAATCTCACCAAATCCTTCAATAGAGCCCAGCTGCCCTCAGTGTGACAGCAGAGGCTCTTCATGCTGTTTCCTACCACATTCTTCGTCTGGTTAAACCCCACTGATTCTGCAGATCCCAAGCTAACTAACTGATACAGCTACTAGAAAGAAGAGAAATCCTTTGAATTTAAAAAAGAATGCCTTGACACACACAATAGAAGGGACCTGGAGTGCGGTGCCTGTAATCTGTGTGTTGATTCCGCGCATTCTCTCTGCTCAACGCTAGCTCAGGCACCCGGGCAGCAGGAAGACGCCGCATGGTGGGGGCAGTGCTGACTCCCTACCCGTCCCTCACTCCCCCACCTCAGTCTGCTCTTTCATAAGGAGGCTAGAAGCAGTCACCATGAAGAGAGAAGTCATCTCATGCTCAAAATACAAGTAGCTGGAGGGTGCCAGGTTGCTCCATCTGAGTAAAATAAGCTGCTAAAACATCTATGGCTACTTTTCTAATTACAGAGTTGCCACAAAGAAAATTAAGTAAAAAAAAAAAAAGAGAGACAGTGCTCTTGGGAAAAATAATATAAAATTTGTAGAGAAAAATTTAACACAGTATATAAAAAACATTGAAGATATGCACACGTTACCCAATTTTACTTTTTTTTTTTAAGTTGGAGTCTCACTCTATCACCCAGACTGGAGTGCAATGGCCGCTCCCGGCCACCGCAGCCTCAACCTGCTGGGCTCCGGCGATCCTTCCGCCTCAGCCTTCCAAGTAGCTGGAACTACAGGCGCGCACTACCAAGCCCGACTAATTTTTGGTTTGTTGTAGAGATGAGGTCTCGTCAAGTTGCCCAGGCAGGTCTCGAACCTGTGGGCTCAGGCAATTCACTCACCTCGGCCTCCCAAAGTGCTGGAATTACAGGCTGAGCCACCAAGCCCGGCCCAATTTTACTTCTACAAAAAAAAATCTTAAAATCATTTTCAAGTTATGCAAAAATTTATCAATCAGGATGTTTTTAATAACCATGTTCATAAAAGCGGTATATTAGAAAGAACCTAATGTCCAATGATACGGAAAGGGGATTAATAAAACAAATTATGGTATAACTCACCTAAAAAAAAAAAAAAGAACTCTATCTAAGAATTAGTCAATTTTCATTCAAAGAGAAGTAAACCCAAATCCTGCGTAAGTTTAAAAGAGTTTTACCAACTTTTAAAATAGTAACTCACCCTGGAACAGTATCTCCTTATAATTCTAAAATCTGTGTCCAGTTTTAACAAAACTCTTACACAGATATGTAGACAATGACTATTTCACACCTTCATCCATTTAACTCACTCTTCAGAAAACCTCGATGCAATATGCATGAACAGATGTCAACACACAGTGTACACTCTAGTAAAACATGCTTTCATAGAAGCAGAAGATGTGTTGCAACACAAAATGCACACACAGAACAATAAAAAACTTTTCAAAATGAATTTGGATTCGCAAATTTTTTTTTCGCATCCCCCTTCCCCTAGCAAATTTTTAAAACCAATATTCAGTGTGGAAAGAGCATAGCAAGAAGGAAATTTTAAAAACCTGTTTGGAAAGCCATTTCACAATACACAAGTTAAGAGTCTCCAAAATGTCCCTCCCTTTAAACCAATCATCCAATCTAGGTATTTTCCCTAAAGAAATCATCAAAAACAGGGACAAAAACTTATAATAAAATAAAAGCAGACACCTATGTGTCTGGCTCTGCTGAGGTTTACAAATGGTAATCCTTAAGCCACCTTACAGTAAAGAAAATAAAGCACAGAGCACAAATCACTTCAATAAGGTCAGAGTTTATAAGTAGTGGGCCAGGACTTGAGTCCAGGAAATTCAGCTCTACAGGAGACACTCTTTTTTTTTTTTAAAGTGACAGGGTCTTGCTCTGTTATCCAGGCTGGAATGCAGGGCCGTGATCACAGCTCCCTATAGCCTCAAACTCCTGGGCTCAAGCAACCTTCCTGCCTCAGCCTTCCGAGTAGCTGGGATGACAGGCGTACATCACCACACCTGGCTAATTTTTTAATTTTCTGTAGAGATGAGTCTCACTATGTTGCCCAGGCTGGTCTTGAACCCCTGAAGATCTGCTTCAGGTGTGAGCCAACTGCACCCAGCCAATACTCTTTTCTATATTATGTTGTCTCTTTATACAAAGATGCCCAATGCAATGACACTTCCCAGAGTAAAAAACTGTAAACAGACACCAACAAAAGGATGACAGTTGACTATACTATGATATAGCCATAATACTGATATTAAACATTAAAATATTTTAAAACAATCACTGGCACTGACAATTGCTTCTGATACGTTACCTAAGAACAGACTATAAAACAATGCTGCAGTATATGTATAATTCCAATCGAAAAACATACTAATATGTACATTAAGATAGCCACATAAGACACATCCACACACAAATCTAAGGACTTTACAAAAATAAAACCTTACATGTACAACACACAGAACAATAATGCAACCAAACTTAAAGGTAAAAATCATACTACTGAATATATAACTAATATTCTTCTAGACACAGGCATTTTGAGTAACCTAGAGTCCCCTGTTAGAACATAAAATGACAATAGCATTACTCACTCTTTTTATCTGATGAGCTACTAAAATCTATACCACCAAGGCCTTCGTTGCCCGCAGTTGAAGTAGCTGCTGTGGTTCCCAAAGTCAAGCCCAAAGCATTCTGTCCAAGTCCTTCAAATAAATCAAATGTTATTTACACATTTTACCAAAAGACTGTAACAATTTTCCCTTACTGATAAAAGCAGGCAGATGCTTTTAAAGTTGAATTTTCTTCATATTTGATTCAGGCAAGTAACAAGAAACAAGTCTATAGCACACGCTGGACAAAGACTAATAACCGTGCTTGGATTCAATGGCACACGCAGTTCAGATGATGTGATTTTTCATTATTACAAGGACCAGAATATATCTGTCATTCAATCTATGTAGATATTCAAGCTTTACGTTATTTTTAAACCCTCTCCATAAAAGCAGTTTCAGTTCGTATGCTTCTAGGTAAATACCTCTTGAACTCTAATCACACTTTGAGACTGCATATTTTTTAAGTAATCTCATATGAAATTGTAAGATTTGGGTATAATATATATTGAGGTTAAAGTAATACTTCCAAGTACTTTTCATAAAACTTTTAAAAGAGTTCATTTATTTAAATCTCTCCTCACTGACAAAAGGAATCAAAAGGACTATAGTCATAAATCATAATGTATAATTGTGAGCCAAACAGCAAATTTCAATTATCTTGTGTTGATAAATCTACATTTACATAAGACCATGCATTCCTAAGTTGACACAAGTTTTATTCTTTTTAGACAAAATGCTATTTTAAAACAGGAAACCACAGTTAATAGCATGAGATAACTGAAAACTGGGTTTAAATTCTTGCAATGTAGACAAAAACACAGCAAAATATGGTTGTTATAATTTAAAAATCAACGGTTCATTTAGGTTAACATAACCATAATATAAGTATTGAGTAGGACATCAAGAGTCTAAGAAGAATCAGAACACACCTAAAAACTCAGTAAAAAGACATAAAATAAGGCTCTATCTCTTTCTACTTTTTTATTTTGTTTTTATAGAACTTTTCATGAGAAATGTTTAAGTATTTGTCCTATAAAGAAATGCATGTGATAGTCATCTGGTGATCTGGTTATTAGAAGGCATTTTGAATCTAAAAGTTAGATGATAATGACAAATAAGTATTTGAACACAACAAAGAGCAACAGATCATCCTGACCATCCTCCTCTTCCCCTTCCACTGACCTGCATTTTCTCCATTAACTTTAGTATATGAACAGACAGCAGAAATAACTACAGCTCTTTAAACAGAACAATCAAGCCTTATTCCTTCATCTCTCCCATACAACCCAAGTATCAGATACATATTAGGGGCTAAGCAAAACTTCTAGAAGTAAATAGCCATCATAAATACACCCTAAGCATTATTGGAAATTCTGTGGTTTTGACATATATCAACATTTTCTCATCTCTGAATTGTTAAACAGAAGTTCTTGACACTACATTGCTTTGTGACATAATTACACAATTTCTTCAAATAACAGGAGAGCTTTATTTCACTCTCACAAAGCCCTCACAAATATAAATTCCGTATATTGGCATCAGCTATAATCAATATCCCAAACTTCTGTAGAATCTTTAATATAAGGCAAATTTCAAAATAAGCATAAAATGAGAAGTTAACCTACGATATAAAGTATCAATTCAGTATCCTCTGCCAAGTGAATCGACACTTTAGTATTTCACCTAATGATTATAATGAAATTATTTCCTATTTGTGTTTTAAACCTCACCTTCAGAGCATGTTCACACCTGTCCTGACATCATTCCTAGAAGCCACTCCTAGAACTGGGCTTACCAGGGCAAGCTGCCTTGCAGTGAAGTTAGGATGTCAATGATCCAAGATTATTTAACTGCCACTTATTAAAAAACAAGTTTCTCTGGAACAGTTTATTGACTCCTTAAACAAGTTCTTGCTTCCTTATCTAATCAGTCCATATTGAGAAAAAGGAAGATGTATTTCTAAAATATGGCTAAGATGTCCAATTATGTACAAAAAACATTATTTTACAATTCGGTTTTCTTAAAGGAAAACATGCACATTAAAGAGAAAAAGTGATCTGCTCAAAAGACCAAAGTAAACACAAGTGGCCTTCAGGGTCAACGTGTCCTACTGTGGAAGATCAACAACTTTCCATTACCTGATGGTGCAGTGTTTGTACTCTGGAAGAGCGAGCCTCCCAAGCCAGCCAAGGCTCCCCCTAGAGAAAGCCCTGTGGACGCAGTTGTGGTCGCAGCTGTTGTTCCACCCAAGTTATTTAGAGTAAATCCTGTGGATGCTATAAAAAAAAATAAGACAGTAAGCCTTCAAAAGGTCACATTATTTAAGAACACCATAGAAAAATATAATTTAAAAGAAAAACTGATTTCCATGATAAAGTTGGCTCTTTGGAAAAATCTCTCACCAAAGAAAAAGTTATATACTTAAAAATAAAGAAAAGTCAGGTGCGGTGGCTCACGTCTGTAATTCCAGCACTTTGGGAGGCGAAGGCGAGAGAACTGCCTGAGCCCAGGGGTTTAGACCAGCTTGGACAACATAGTGAGACTTTGACTCTACGATAAATAAAAAAATTAGCTGGACGTGGTGTACGCCTGTGGTACCGGCTACCTGGGATGCTAAAGTGGAAGGATTGCCTGAGCGTAGGGAGATCAAGGCTGTGGTAGCCCTGAGCATGCCACTGTACTCCAGTCTGGGTGATAGAGGGAGACTCTGACTCAGAAATAAGTAAATAAATAAATAGAAACAGTAGCTTCAAAGCAAACACCAGTGAAAGAAATAAGGGTTCTGGTGAATATTAGAATGGCACCAGTTAACTAATTCCAGCAAGAGTTTTCAACCCAAGCCACTAGCTCCACCTTCAAAATGAAATGACTCTTAAGCCAGGTCAGGCTTATTTGGTCTTCACCTCCCCCGTCACAGACGGTCCCTTGAGCACAGATGACATCCTGGGGCCTTCCCATAGACCTCTCCAGCGCCCCCTGTTGTGCCCTATAGAGCCTACTCCCTGGAGGCCTCTGCTGCTTTAATGCCCAAAAGCAACTTTCCTCCTTTACAGATCAGAACTTCTGTAGGTCACAACAGCGGAGTGATTAAAATTAAAGCTTCCCAACCTGAAGTTACATTGAATCAAGGTGACCATCTAGCTCTTTACCCAAACACAACTTGAATGTAAACCCTAACTACACCTCTGTTCCTTCAGTCTCACCTGCTGGAGTCGAGGTCAGAGCAGAGGAAAGGCCGAGCCCGCTGGCAGAGGTGGAAGCGATGGGCAGCGCGAACGGCGTGGCGGATGCTGCGGGCTTGCTGAACCCTAAGCTGAAGCCTGTCGTGGATGCAGACGTAGTGGCGGGCGTCCCTGTTTTTAAGAATGAATAAATAAAAGCCCACGTTACCCCAAGTGTGTACATACTATACTGGTTTCACTAAGGATCTCTAAAAGATCCTTGGTCTGTGGCTACTTTTTGTCGACAGAAGAAGGGTGTACTTGTGAGAAGAAAAAATACAAAAGCTGGGTCTCAATCACGGTGATACAGAAAAGACGGCTCTTTGGGTTAAGGAGAGCACAAGAAACCCCAATTGATGTAACATCACAATGGCCAGGTATGGTGGCCCACGCCTGTCATCCCGGCACTTTGGGAAGCCGAAGCAAGCAGAATGCTTCAGCCCAGGAGTTGGGAGACCAGTCTGGGCAACATGGTGAAACCTCGTTTCTACAAAAAAATTAGCTGGGTGTGGTGGCACGCGCCTGCAGCACCAGATATTTGGAAGGCTGAGGTGGAAGGATCACCTGAGCCCAGGAGGTTGAGGATGCCGTGACTGTCGTGATCATGCCACTGCGCTCCAGCCTGGGTGACAGAGTGAGACCTCAACTCAAAACAAAATAAATCAATTTCAAGTCTACCCCTAAATTTATGCCCAAATAGTGTCTATCCTCTTTCTTTTCCTTAACTGTCACCAAAAAAACTGTCCTCTTCTCCAAAACAGAGTTAACACCCGCCGTCTCCCCCTCCTCCTTCTGACTCCTGTCTGTCAGCCCAGCTCTCTCCCTGCTCCTCTCAGTCCTCTCCCGTAGATGGTCATCCTCACTCCTGTCCTGTGATACTCCCCAGGGTCCACTCCTGCTTCCTTCCACAACAACCTCACACCTTCAAGTATAGGCACGAGTCTCCCTCCCCACCCTCCCAAGTCCCCGTCTGCAGCCCTAACCTGATGTCCCATCAGTTTTCGTATCTACCACAAAACAATCTTCTAAGCCTCCCCTTGGTCAGTTCAACAGCTCAAGCCAGAAACCAACTGCTCTGACGTCCTTTCCCTCCCTTATATTCTGTTAGTCACAAAATCTTGGCAAAATTCTACTTCAGATATATCCCTGGGCCACAGACATACTTAAAAATCTTAGTTTAGACCCTGTCTCTCTCAAGAACTATTACAACAGCATTTACTTTTCTGCCATTAGTCTCTTTCAACCTTTAATCTATTCTTAGAATTGTCTTTGTCACCTTAAAAACAGCAGCAAATATCCTGGTGATTCTGCCCAGCTTAAGGTTCCCACTAGCTCTAGACTGCCTCCAAATCGGAGTCTAAAGGCGTGGCACACTACCACCGTCTCCCATCTGGTCCCCACCTGCTCCTCACATGTCAGCTCTCCCTGCCATCCCCACTTCTGAATTCTGGGCTCCAGGAATTTCTTCCTGGATGCTGTTGTTCTAACTTCTGTGGACCCTCTCATGGAGAAGCCTCTGCACTTTCTACTCCTCTGTCTGAAATGTTTCCCACCCCTAAGATAAGCCCTGCTATCTTCTTCCTCCACCTTCCACGGTGCCTTTCTTACGTGTGTTAGAGCATTTATCCAATTACACAAGAACATGCTAATACACCTGCCAGTCCCCTTCTCCGCAAAACAGTCTTGACAGTCCTAGCAGCTCCTGTTGCCATCATTGGTACCATCTTCACCTCCAGCATAGCAGGCCAGTGCTAAATGTGCAGGTATGATAGATGCACCAGACCACACGACCAGTAGTGACTACTCAGACAATACTGAAGGAAGAAATGCATGAGCACCTGCATTTCAGTTTCTCCTGGAATCATCGAGAAAGAAGCCAGAGACAGCGCTTCTAGACTGCCCTGACCACAGTGGGAAGTTCCTGCCAGAGGGCAGTGCTGTGCGTGAGGTCACACACGGGAGCCACCACCTCAGAGAATAAGACGCAATTGCCTACCTTAGAGCCAAGCCTGCCCACAACACTGGTGGTAAGCAAGTACGCTATGTTTCAGCGGTAACAGGCAAGCAGTGTCCAAGTAAAGTCAAGTCACCAGTCCCCACTTGGACTAGCTCAGGGCTCTTGTGCTCTTGCATCCCTTCATGTCCTTTCACTCACATCCTTTCCCACTGTCCAGAGTCAACCAGGCTGAACCCAAGCTACGCACAAACCCTGGAACACACTGCTGGAGACACTACTACTGTGCTGTGGGCCAGTACTCTCATTCTGTAGAGAACTAACACAATTTAGACATCATGACTGTCTAATGCCTCAATTATTGTAGAGGAATAACCAGGGCTTAATTCCAAAATTTCTGGCTTAGCATTTAATGCCGTTGCCACTAAACAGAGTCAAATGACTCAAAAAGTAATGGGAAATAAATGTCCACATTAAAAACCACTTCTGTATTTAAAATATTTGTCTGAATTAAGAAAGCACTATCTGAAATTTCTGTCAGTGCTCAACTGCTGGAAGGATCTCTGATGAGTCAGTATCTATGACATACACTCACTTCTTCTATTTTCTTCTACACCCCAGCTCTGTGAGCTAACGGAAAAGAGAAGACTAGAAAGATCATTCGGTTCACTTAAATGATTAGGAATCCAGGGATCTGGGATCTTTCCTTACGAACTCTTACCCAGAGTTAATCCTGAAGTGATAGTTGTTGCTATACCTGGGGATAAAAAGAGAAACAAAATTTGATCATCAATGAAGATGGCATTTGTCTGGTTCCTCTAGTGCAGGGGAGACTGGAACCACCCCCACACAGTGACAACACCTCTCCTGAGATCAATGCCCTCCATGGCAGCTGCCACCATCCCCCCTCCTGAGGCATTTGGCCTTCAGCACTGGTTTCCACGTTATAAGCTGGATATGATTTGATTAATTAGGGAATGAGATGTATGAAATGCAAACAATGATTGCTTATAACAAAATTAAGACAAGTGCTGGTACACAGAGCTATCTCCCACAGCTCCCGGCTGGCCCGCTAGGTTCACCCTGTGGCACCTTTCTCTTCTAGCTAAGGCGGTGAGTGTGCAGCTCTCAAAGCTCAAGGTCAATGCAGAAAGAGGTAAAAAGACCAAGAGGTTCTGTGGGCAGAGAACGGTCAAGAGGGCAGCAAACCCTCTCAATGGTCAGCACCAGTGAAATACTGTTTCAGTTGTAAGTATCAAAAACAAATTTTTTATCAAAATGTCCACCAGAAACCTTCAAGTTCTTTACCTTCTGCCCTTTTCCCACTGATATATTGATTTAATAACACAAAAATGTATAACATCTCTTAGGAATGAAAATTATGTTATAGCCAAGTAGGATGCTGTCTCATATATATTAAATTAATTAATGTTCCAAACTGGTAAAACGGACTTACACAACAATACTCACTAAAGCAAAACTGCATTAATCTAACATAAAATTACAATTACTTGACTCACTATACTTAGAGAGCTCTTCAAGTTCCTGAGGGGAGAGGGAGAGAGAAAGAGATTTTCCTCCCTTACACAAGGGTCAGTCACAGTTGCCAATGGGGCCTGCCACTGGTCCTTAACTTCAAGTCCCTGCAGTATTCCTCTCATCTTAGTATTCACCATTTTTTAAGGTCTACCGACGACGAGCCTCATAAAGGGAAATATAGAACACAACCTGGAAATGAAGAAACAGCCGAGTCACGCCCCCAAAAGCATGTCACTCCTCCTCACCTGTGTTTGTCCCTCCTAGAGTGAACCCAGTGGCGGGTTTAGCTCCAAAGAGCCCAGTTCCAAAACCACCAGAAGAAGCAGACGTGGTTGCTGGCGCCGCGGTACCCCCAAGAGTTCCGAAATTGAGCCCCACAGAGGGGGTGCTTGTTCATTGAAAAACAAAAAACAACACAAAATAAACTCTACTAGAACCAAGTATTTACTTAAGGAAAATAAAAGTTAACTCTTCAGGGTAATTTTCTTGTTTTCTCGATGTAACATATCTAATAATCTGCTATAAGACCCAAAGGAGCTAACAATAAGTCTACCTTTAACCAAGATCAAATATTTTTCTATTTACCTTAAAAAAAATAAACCCACAAGTAAAATAAGTCTTCAAAAATGCAAAACCAGGCTTTAAGAAGCATAATCGATGGCAGTTACATATTCAGATCTTGAGGAAGTCATAAGCTAGGGTCACACACACTTGGCTTTCACCAGTTTTTGTTTGAAGCCTAGAATAGTTAAAGTTATTCTAGGTGGTCCTCATCTCCTCTTGATTGCTGTATGATCCTATTCAAGGGTGGGGGGTGGAGCATCTGGTTAGATATCTTCTACCCAAAAGAAAACAGGAGAACAAGGGAAGCTGAGGGACAGGGAAGGCAAGAACATCCACAAAGTCTCAAGGTAATGTTCATTGGCAGAAACTCTTCAGAGAATTGTTGAAAGCTTACAAAACATCTGGTAAAAAACAAGTGATGTAAACAAAGTTCACAACTTCTCAACTGCTCTTACCAAGCCTCAGAGTTTCAAATTTGCTATCTACAGGTGGGAAGACAAATTACAAAAATAAGTAAAAATGTTGACAATTTGACATTTCAAAAATCATACAGGAGAGTTAAGAGAGATTTTAGTAACATGTACAGTATACTGCAAGTCCTAACTATCCCATCTATGGATCTGTGACTTCCCTGTTGGCAATCACATGCGCGATGACCAATGCTTCAGAGGCCTCGCAGCCCTGGCTGTTCAGCTCAAGGGGAAGGCAGCAGCGTGTGGCCGGATGCCACCACCAGCTCCCCAGGCCCTGGCATTCCTGGGAATGACTCAAGCTTTTTGTGCCTCTATTTCCTAATTTACAAACCGGGAATATCAGTGCCCACTTAGCAGGATTTTTTTAGAAAGGCTAAGAGATGAACATAGGGCGAATGAACCCAGTGAGTGTTGTTACTACTGTGACCATCAGGATTACCTGCACATTCAACCAGGTGCACAATGTGCTCACCATAATGCCAGGAAGAACAAGGGGTGGAAAGACAACCAAAAGTCCCTAGTCAAGGAACATGTTGTTTGCTCCAGAAATGAGTAACACGAATAACCCAAGCCAGAAGAGCACTTCCAGTTCCAGAAGGCGCCCCCGTGTCATAATCAGTTGAGGGACAATCTCTCAGGCTCTGCCATCCGCCGGGGCATGGGGGAAGGGAACACTCTACCTCAAGCCTAGAAATGTACATGCTCACATATTTTTTATCAGGCAGGTTCTACCTAAGGCTGAACCGAGGGCAGACAGGCACTGCCTAAGTCTGAGAGGAAGACCTGATGGGGCAAGAGGTGGAGGCGCTCATTAACGAAGAGGAACTCAAGATGACAGGGCGGATCACAGGGAGTGAGAGGATCACCCTAACCCGGCCTCGCTTTCTCCTGGCATGACCCATGTGTGCGGGGCAGCGGCGGCAGGGCACAGCTGCGCGGTCTCTCAGCTAAAGCACGGATGTTTAAACGTTCAGTGACTGAATTTAAAAGGCACTTTAAGTGCGTGGCCCACCTGGGCAACTTGGCGAGACCTCCTCTCTACAATAAATCAAAAATTAGCCGGGCGTGGTAGCGTGCACCTGTTGTTCCGGCCACTTGGAAGGCTGTGGCAGAAGGATCACCGGAGCCCAGCAGGTCGAGGCTGTGGTGGCCGGGAGCGGCCATTGCACTCCAGCCTGGGTGACAGAGTGAGACTCCAACTCA